TATATATATATATATATATATATATATATATATATATATATATATATATATATTGTAACTGAACTTACCTGTTTGATAATTAGTCACATTATTTTCTTTATGCTTTTGGAAATGTAAATGAATGTCTGTTGGGGACTAGGGATTCTTTTGAAGGGAGATCACCTTGATAATGCTATTGGTGCATATCCTTCGTTTTTTTTAGTAATACAAAAATATAATTTATTACACATGATAAAAGATCATAATAAACATTTGATCATGGAATGTACATCTTATATGACTCAAAGCTTGATTAACTCCAATTTTGTTTTCATACCACCAATAATAAAAGAACATCATTATCATGCCTCTATTAATCACCTAGTCTACCTATTAACATTCATCATTGTATTTGTATACATCTACTGAGATCTCTATTAACTGTACACCATGCCTTGCATGAATTTGTAATTAATGAAAATTTACTCTATTAGAAACAAAAATATAGGTACATAACTCGGCAAATATTCTTTTCTTCCCACCCTCATCACATTTAACATCCCCCTCGCTCTGAATCATAATCATCCTTGTAGTCCCTCCATGAATTGAAGTATAAATCAAATATTCTTACAGCACCAGCTTCCTCACGGCGCCTTGAAGCGCCGCTACTGTTCGTGATAGCTCGTCGTGCCGTTGCTGCCTCCAACCTCCTTTCCAAATGCAGGCTGCCTCGTACCTTCATAGTTTCGCACGATATCATATATCCTTGATTACTGGTCGTTCCCTTTGTTAAAACACGTCGATCGCGTATGTCAGCCAGCATACGCACACTATGTTTTTTCCTTCCGACGAACGTGTCTACCGCCCGTATTTATTTCACTGACTTCATGACACTGCCTCTAATATTCATCATTCATTATCAGAGTCATGTCATAATCGCCTGTTTCTACAATTGTTTTCAGTTTTACTAACGCCACGATGTAGACCGATTATTCCTACTTCGCTTCACAATCCGCGTCCGCTGCCATACTGCCCCGTTGCCTTCTAACACGTAACTACTACTCTCGTTCTCCCCTCCGCTCGCTTGGTCACCTTGATTTCCCTTCTCGAATCCTGATTTATATATATATATATATATATATATATATATATA